AGTAGCAAGATTTGATGAAAATAATGACTTAAGTTGTTATTTAACTAAATGATACATTTTCAGTTTCTTGTAAGTTATTAAACATTTTAAGGAAATTGAACTTCCACAATAATAAACTAAGAACAGAGAGATTTCATAAAATAAAAAATAACTTTTTTATCAGTCGTATACAAAATATATTTGATATTTTTAACAGATCATAAACTTAAAAGGTATGAAGAACAAATGCAAGATTGTTAATTTTAAGAAATTAAAGACAAAATCAGAAAAGACTTTTATTCCTTGAACTTTCCATTATTTTTACCAAAATTAACCCTCCAATCCCTTGCCCGTGGGGGTCTTAGGAGACAGAGACTGAGATCTAATGCAGGGATCTCCCCTGCCTAGGGCCTCACCCCTCGACTCAACTAATTTTGCGTGGTCTTTTCTCCATCCAGCTCTTTTGTTTCCGTCCCTTCAACCCCTTCTACTATCTACTTCCTAAGGTGTAAGAGCCATGCTGAAAGGATGAAAGGCTGACTGTGCGTCCTGAATGGCCTGAGGGAACCATGGGCACAGTATTCCCCCATTTTAGTTGTCTAGCCCTTACCCTTCAAGGGGACTCAGAGGGGTGGGCTGTTTATTTCCCCAACATAGTCAAGGCTTTCCATGGCCAATAAAGATGTAATACCCATATTAGGGGCAATGAAGCTTGCCCCATCATCAAATAGCCCCACCAATTCAAACTCCGCCGGCTCCCCGACCCCAGGCTTACCTTTGACCACGACTCTGAACACTGCAAGCACTACCCACTCCTCAATGCCTATTAGTACAGTATCCATCCAAGTCGAGACTCAATCTGCAGAAGACATTCCTACTCTCCCAACTTCCTCAACTTCATCACCTCTACCCCCACAACCTTCACCAATCACCCCATCCTCCCTTGCTACTAATTTACAGCCTTACTCTCCATCTCTCCGTAATACTACCCCCCTCAACAATAGTCCCTTTTCCACACGTCTCCGTCCTTCTAGCGACCCCTACTCTACAAATATCTTAAATACTCTATTTAGCCCAGCCAAATGGGACCGATTTTTCGTGATCCCCCCTGCAGTTCCTTAATCAGGCAACACTCTTCTCTTTCAACAATGTCCCCAAAAGCAAGTGGGCAAAGTCCCTTTCCGTACCTGACCCTATCGTTCCCGTCTCGTTACAGTTACATCTGAAACTGAAACTGTAGCATTATCAAATCTAACTGATCTCTCTGACACCCCATTTCTGCAGAACCTCATCAACTCTTAATACTTGTGCCGGACTGTCTCATATATCCCCAGTTAGCTGCCCTATGGATATCGATTGGTCAGATTGTGGAGAATTCTTACTCCTCTCCAACCTCCGAGGTCATCGAAAGAACCCCACCAACATTGCCAAAATTACTTTGCGTATACATGATTTTCCCTTTTGTATCTACATTGATGGACAATGCCTCCCTGTTCGAACATATGAACTTCCTCCCCGTCAATGACAAAACCATTGGCGTTTAGGACATTCTGCCAAACACTGCCGTTCACAGCCGATACCCCTATGTGCCCAGCCTGATCATAACCGATCAAACTGCTCTGCACAAACACGTACATGTGTTAATTGCGGCGGACCCCATAATGTATTTTATATTGGCTGCCCCACCTACAAATTTGAGTGTGAGGTAGTAACTCTCAGATACAAACTTGGTCTCACGCTGAGTGTAGCCAGACAGGAAGCACGTCGACGAGATTTCTCTCATACTCCCTACTCTAGTAATGTTCGCTCCGCCCCTCCCCCTCCCTCCCAAATGTCCCTACACCCTCCCCTATACCTACTTATTTCCCACTTTACCTCCTACCTTCCCCAGTCAAATTATTTTGCCACTCTAAATCCAGAATCTCCAATCTCAACTACAGCCCCAACACCGTCCCCTCTCCCTCCCCGCACTACCTTCAGCACACAGGCTAAACGTTCCACCCCTTCTTCTCCTACCACACATTCACCTCCACCTACCTTCGGCTTTACTCCTCAGACACCAGTCTCCTCTTCCCCTCCTCATAAGAGAACCTTGGACTCACAAAACTCCAACCAACTCCATTGCAAAAACTATGGAAGATATTCAAATACAAAATTCCATAACTCATGCTCCAGCCACACTCGAAGTGATTACCGATAGCTATCCTCCTGCTACTCATATTTCCCCTGTCTTGACAACCTTTCTCCTTCCTCAGACGCATACATATTTTTCACTTGATCTAATCCCCTTACCTACCCCATTACTCAACTCCTTTACCCGTCTTTAATATTTCAATATTACTCTAGATATTTGACGTATAGCAAATAATTGCTAACTCAACCACCCTTTACTACCCGTTACTGTACCTTCCTATAGTGCTATATGACCTTAGATGACTAGCACATTTATTTTGCTTTTATCCATCCCCCAAAAAAACTCGCCCTATTACTATATTTCGTATATACCGCTAATGATCCTAGATGTTGACGCGGCAGATTTTTTTCAATAAATAATTTTCACTAACAGCGCTTTACAACCTTTCACATCTAACAATTTGTCCTAATTATTAACTACTTTTTGTCATAATACTTTGCCATAATGCTGTAAGACCTTTCCTTGCCTAGGGGCTTCGTCCCCGAGCCTCGCTATATGACCTTAGATGGCACGACTGAAAATTTTCAATAAATAAATCTGAACTCAGGAATGACATAATCATCGTTATGAAGCAACAAAACATAAAAGAAAGAAAATAATGCGTCACATAGACATTTTAAGTAGTATGGTACACCCCCACCCCCTCTAATCCCATGCCCGTTGCAGATAGAGACAGAGGTCCAGTGCAGGAGATCACCCCTACCTTTGACCTCAGCCCTCGCCTCAACTAATTTTGCATGGTCTTTTCTTCTTTCCTTTTCCTCATCTTCACCCTTCTGTCCACATCCTAAATTGCGGGCCTGTCTTTCATCCTGAGCAGTCGGCAGTCGCCCGACTGCTCAGCGACTCGAAATACATGTGTTACTATGCGGCCGCACACACACGGCGGCAGCCACTGCGTTTTCATGGTAATGGTACGCCTCATTGGCTGGAGGGGGATTCGACCAATGAGAGAGCACGTGGAGCAGAGGCAGACAGACCGGCGACAGTAATTTCCGCTTCCCCCAGCCTGTCATCCTGATTTGATGGACATTCTCATGTAATTAAAGAACTTGGATTCATGTTCTCATAACTTTGGATACAATGTGAAGGACATTACATGGGTAAGTCTGTCATTTAAGATAGGATGAACCCAATAACGTCTGTCTCCTCTTCCGCCGCTGCAAACGATATAATACCCATGCACATGTCACCTCTTCTACATCTATTACCAGCTTTGTATAATCAGTGACTGAAGAGAGATAAAAAAAAAAAAAAAAAAAAAAAAATACAATAGTGGGCGTGAGACGAGTCGGGTCACTGTAAGCGCTGTGTGTGAACATTCACTCAGTAGTCGCGCTTCTAGCAGTCGGGCCACTAAAATCGCTCGTCTGAACAGGGCCTAACATATGGCTCTGCATCATACTAAGCAGCTACTCTCTCTGTCTTATATCACCTGGATCCGCTATTTAAATAATGGTAAACTATTGATATGTTATTTGGATATCAGAATAATACTCATAACAATATTTCATATGCCATTATATTTTCCAAATGTTTACAATTATTTCATTACCAAAAATAACGAAATGAATATGTAAAAGATGGAATAAACAGGAGATATCGGAAATAATGGGTTTCTTGAATAATTTGGAGGGGTACACCGACAAGGCGTTGGACACCAGCCGCTGAAACGACAAATAAAGGTGTAAGAATAGGTAGAGTCGAGGCTAAGGGAATATTTCCTTAACATTGGGTAGAGTAAAGCTAGACTCGGCCCTGTGCAGGGTGAGTGAGCGAGCGTGAGCCGGGAAGAGGGTTCGCTGGGAAGTGCCCAATCTGCCTAGGTCTAAAGACTGTCACCCAAGTGTTTGGCACTAAATGATATGTTAATACTTTGTTTAACAGCAGCTACTTACTATATACCCCACCATCATTATATGAATGCTCCGCTGCGCATATTGACTGCATTTCATTTCACATCATTTATTTTCACTAACAGTTTCAAACAAATAATAAATTAGGTTGACTGACGATGCACTTTAAATTGATTTGTATCTCAAACTTTAAACCCATATGATAAATATAGATAATTTCTATCTACCGGTTTGTTAGAATTGTGCGAGGCCCGACCCAAAACTTTTTCGTATACTGGACATGCATAAATTAAATGATATGCATATTTATCAAAAAGACATCAAAATTAGATATATATATATATCTGTCAAATATATAGACAGATATGCCTTTATTTCTGCGTCTGTATTTATGAAAATTCATTGGGTCGGGCCTAGCACAACCAAACCGTACTTCGCGATTCATGAACGCTATTAGGGCCTACACTGTCATTTTATCAGAGCTACTACGTCCCTTGTTGCAAGTAAGGGCGTTTTCTGTACGCGTCTTAAAAGCGTAAAGGTCATTAGGTTAATTCTCGTGTAATTAGAATTTTGAGAATATTTGAATACATCACTACATCCCTTCCTGTTGCGTAACATATAGATTGGTAAATGGATATCAAATACACTTAATCGGCAATTAGATCGGTATAATTTAAATCATATGTTATTTTTTTCAGATTATTGTTTTACATATTACATAGGAATTAAAATGTTTTCCTTAGATAACTCTAATTTAACGAAGTTCCCCCAACCCACATTGAGTCGTCATATGAAAGACTCGTTTCAAACATTTACAAAGTCTTTTTTCTTACATTGCATAGTAATTTCATTTTAAGAACCCTTTTGAATTATTTATATTTAAGAGCATTTTGAAATTTGATATTAAACAACTGCGGAAGTTTAATTACATACTTCTCTAGGACAGTATACAAGTGGCTAGCACATGAGCCTACAAGCAAATGTAAACAGTCAGGAATCAGCTGGGTTGGTACTAAGTCTGTTATTTTACAAAATAAATTGATAATAAAGTAGATTGCATAGAAAATATGACATATACAAGTTAATGAATGACCCAGGCGGCTACAGTTTCACAATAGTGCTCACAAAACCAAAAATACACACGTACTGGAGGGAAGAGCAACCTCAGTCAGTCTTCACTTTGTGGGTAAAGCATATTTTGTTCTCCAGTGCTTGATCTTGGCCAGCAAAGATGACAGGATTTTCCTTGAAATAATTTGGTCACTTTCCAAGAAAGCTTGTATAACATTTGTATTTTTTTTCTAATACGTTTGTATAACAGATTCAAAGGATTTCGGTATTGTTGGATTCTTCTCACCATCTATGTAGCAAATATGTATATTATTATTATCATTCACTATATTGTACAATGCAGGGGGCTGTTTCCCTTGTGGCACCCCATGTGGAGCTGCTGCCCCCAACCCGCACCCAGGAAAACAAAGAATCCTTCACATATTCACGGCAGGAGAGAGCTTCGGACAGACTTGGCAATGCTGCATATGCATGGTAGTCATACACTCTCTCCTGCTGTGAATACTTGGAAGATTATTTGTTTTCCTGGGCAGGGGAAATTAAATAGGTCAGTGCCATAGACTGGAATTAATTGCTCTTGAATCAGTGTGAAGAATAAGGTTAAGAGTCTGTTATTTTTTTCATCACCTTTTATTACCTAGACAGTTTGAGCCAAGGGAAGAGCAACTTTTGGTGAGCTAAGAATGAATCGAGTTCAGAAAAACAGGTTGGCCCGGCCTCCTGGGACGCAAGGAGCCGAGCTTGAGAATCAGTTCATTCTTCGGCTGCCCTTGGTAAGTGTTATCTTTCATTTGAATATTTTCTTTCATTTTAAAAGTACAATATATTTTATGGAATGTTTCCTGTATGGCACATGGGAAACTTAATTAAAATATTCTGAATTGTACTATGTATAATTGTGTATTATATTGAGTGTGAATGACAAAGGGGATATCTTTGCACGTCAAAATATTTCCTGATTTATAATCTTCGATGGTAGGAAACTGATATTGATGCCAATATCCGTTCAGCATTTTGTGAAAATTGCTTTTTGGCTATAGATTAGGAGACAAGAAATATATATATAAATATAAGCATCTTCATCATTAGTTGGCTTGTCATCATCAGCATAATCATCATAATCATGTCATCATCAACAGCATAATCAATGTCATTTTCATCATCATGTCATCATCATCATCAATCATCATCATCAACCATCATCATCATCCATCATCAGTCACCATTAACTTTGATTAACTAGTTATACAGTTTAATGATTTTCTTAATGTGTGTGGATCTATGTATGCACATATAAGTGCATTTTCATGTGTACCTTTGCATCAACAATATATATTCCTTCTTTCATTATCGACTGTGCTTTGTGCTGAGTCAAGAATTCTTATGGAAAGCAGTATTTACAGGCCCAAGCACAAAATTTGAAGGAAGCTATTAAGCAGGGACAGACGAATATCAAAGACCGACTATCCATCCAGTTGGATTTCACCAACGACAAAGATGATATGCGCAATGGTATCATCACCTTTGATACCATCATGTATAAAGCAAGGGTAAGGTGCAAGAATGGTTTGCATGACGTACTGTATATCATACTGGAGTAATATCTGTACCTATTGACCATATGAATTTTTTATTTACATGTTTGATATATTTGTATGTACTCTATAGGTATTTAAAAATCTTAAAATATTGAGTCCTCAAACTCTTGATATACTAATGTTAACAAAGAGAAGAGGAATGACAGACTGCCCACATCTTTTAAACTGTAGTCTGGACTATGTGTGCCTAATTCATAGCAGCCTAGTATTATGCAATAGATTATATACAACATAGTTTTATTAAAGTCGTGTTGTGGTATTTAGTGTAAAAAATGGCATTGTTGAGTGACTTTGAGAATGTTTTTTCAATTCTTTTAATTTTTTTTTACCTTATTTTTCCAGCTTGTGGATATCCCAACAATTATGGAAACCTGGAAGACCATTGACGGCAAGAATTTCTACAAAACAGCTGATGTTTGTCAGGTAAGAGGCTTTATATTAATGTTCATTTACTTAGGATTATATACCCTCTATTTATTATATATCCATAGATTTATTTGCAGAGTTAGATATACTTCAGTAATTAAAAATGCATGGCAAATCCCTCTTCAGTTTAAGCAACAGTTGATAATAGACTATTACCTTGCTGTATAATCTCTTCCATCAGACTGGGAATCTTCATGACCTAGTTTCATTAATGAGTAATGATTGGACTACAAGAATATTGTGAAAATGTTGATATTTCTTGTTATCGCTGAAGTATTATTGTACCCAAGGAAATATGTTGATAAAATTATAGTTTCACTATAGAATTAAAATATGTTGATAAAATTATAGTTTCACTATAAAATTAAAACTATAAAATTATAGTTTCACTGATTCACTACCTGAACATTGACTCTAAGAAACACATCCAGTTGTTGGCAATTACTTGATACAAAATCCCAGACGTATCAGAAAGTCAAAATACTTTATTGGAGAATATATCCATATTATCAGTATTTATCTGAAATTAATTTGAATATTCAGATACATCTAAGTTACTGATTATAGAATTGTTTTAATGAATTTTCTTATGCATTTTTCTTATTATTGAATTTTTCTTGCATTTTGATATAGAAAAGAAATGGACACAAGAGTATCTTGTGAATTCTAGAAGTATCATGTATTGTTAGTTTATTATCTTGTCCATTATGAATTTGAGACAAATTTCTGCTACTGTGTACCAGGCGTTGGGGAGAAGATTTGTTGGATTGAAATGCTTAGGCAAACACTTCTCCGTACTTATTCACTAAAACAGTTGTATCATATATGATGTTTTAGTAGCAAAAATTGTTTTAATGAATTGTCTTACGCATTTTTCTTCTTGGTGTTATTGTTTAATCCGTTGGATCCGCTTGTGTCACAGAAATCACGGTGCCGAAAATATGGGCAGTGGGTAATGTCAGTAGCCAACATCTCAGGCATGTGATGCGTAGGCTGGGCACATGTGAACAGCCATGAGGGGTGACAAGACTCTGTGCCTCCCCTGTGCCAAGTTATTTTGTGTAAACTTTTAAAGCTTTTTTGCCATTTTCCAATGTCCATATTTGTCTTTTGATTTGTTTTTTTCCAGATGGTAATAAGGTATTTTCTTTGCACAGACTCCAGGTCATCTCTCTATGTAGTAAATAACTCAGTGCAAGAAAAAAAAAAAAAAGCATTTGGTTATTTGTGTCATATATCTTATCTTTTCATGATTTTCAAATTTTGTGTAATACAGCTTGTGCCATTAGTCACAGCAGCCAGGATATGATGCACAGCATAGAAATGGCATCTTCCCTTGAGTTGACACTCTTCCAGTTATGACTTTTCCATCACCTGGGCCTGGGCCTTTGCTCATGATGGCAAATTTGCATTACCCAGCCCGTGGCTATTTTGTCCATTGACGGCATGTTCATGTCACCTGGCCCTCAAACCCAGATTTTTTCATGATGGAACCGTAACATAGTCCAGATCATAGGGATTAAGCATTAAAGTCTTGAATTTTGATATAGAAAAGAAATGGACACGAATATGTTATTTTGATATAGAAAAGAATGGACACGAGTATGTTATTTTGATATAGAAAAGAAATGGACACGAGTAAGTTATTTGATATAAGAAAAATATAGAAAAGAAATGGACACGAGTATGTTGTGGATTCTAGAAGTATCATGCATTGTTAGTTTATTATCTTGTCCATAATAAATTGAAGACAACATTTCTGTTGCTGTGTTCTAAGTGTGAGGGATAAAATTTGTTGGATACAAAATGCTTAGGCAAACACTTCTAGGTACTTGTTCACAAAACAGTTTTATCATATATTATGATTTAGAAGCAAAAATAATAAGTTTGTGAAAAAAATTTTAGTTTTGCTTTTAATGATCATAATATTAAGGTTCTTAGTTAGGTTACCTTGTAATTGCAGCATTCATACCATTGGTATCATAGTAATATTTTGGTATAAAGTTTTTGCGTAAAAAAAGAAGAAGAAGAAAAAAAAATGATAGGCAGCTGCAGTCTCTTCATGTGTACACATGTGTGCAATTACTTGCACACACATGCACAGTCTCTCTCTCTCTGTCTCTCTCTCTCTGTCTCTCTCTCTCTCTCTCTCTCTCTCTCTCTCTCTCTCTCTCTCTCTCTCTCTCTCTCTCTCTCTCTCTCTCTCTCTCTCTCTCTCTCTCTCTCACACACACACACACACACACACACACACACACACACACACACACACACACACACACACACACACACACACACACACACACACACACACACACAACACACACACACACACACACACACACACACACACACACACACACACCACACACACACACACACATACACACACACACATACACATACACATGCACACTCTCACTCTCTCATTTTTGCCTCACCCCCTCCCTTTCCCCTTCCCTTTTCCCCCCTTCCTCCCCCACCTTCCCCCCTTTTCCCCCCTCCCTTTTCCCCTCCCTTTCCCCCTCCTTCCCCCCTCCCTTTCCCTCTCCCTTTTCCCCCTCCCTCTTCCCTCCCCTTCCCCCCTCCCTTTCCCCCTCCCCCCCTCTCCCCTCCCTGATCCAACATCACACTGGCAATGTTTATATTTCTGGGTGTCTCATATATGGGACATCCGTCGCAAATGGGTTAAATTATTTTTCCAAATGCTGTAAAGTAGTACATTTACTTAATTACAAGGTATTGAATCATTTGATTTTGTAAATAAACTCATTTTTGCCGACGACAGATGCTGATGGTACGTGAAGAGGAGGATCCCCCAGAGGAAGAGGATCCAAAAAAGAAGCGTCGTGATCCCAATAAAGTTGACAAAAAATACCTCTGGCCCCATGGTTACACGCCTCCCCTCAAAAATGTCCGCAAGAGACGTTTCCGCAAAACTCTACGCAAAAAGGTTCTTTGTTGATTATGTGTTTGTTGTATTTATTTATTTATTTATTTTTATTTACTATTATTTTTTTCTGATTGATTGTTTGATTACTTTACAGGATATGTAAGTTAACTGTATTTAATACATTGACGTTAATTGAAGGAAGAGCATTTTATCATACTTGATTTTGATGTTTTAACATTTTGCAGAACTTAGACCTACCAGAAATTGAGAAAGAAGTAAAGCGTTTATTAAGAACAGATAATGAAGCCATTAGTGTGCGGTGGGAGGTTGTACGTGAAGAAGACGAAAAGAAAAATAATGCTGACACAAACTTGTCGTCTTCTAACTTGGATGGTATGTAATGAGGAGGGAACTTGGGTTTCTCTTTCTATTTGTTATTTCAGTTATGGATAGGCCACTTAGCAAGCAAAGTAACTAAATAGTTCTTTAGATTAGTAACAGATCAATAGTCTAGTTCTTTACAAGATAGAGAATTCTTTGATGAGAGGCTCCTTGGTTCAATACCTTGGTGATGAGATTAGGCAGTGAGTATAATTTTGTAAATGCCTTCATCTTCGTAATTTAATATTTAGATGGCTCCCTCATCTCTCTTTCATTTTAGGGCTCTCTTTCTTCTATTTACTGCTTTAAATATCAACACTATTATTTCGTTAATTTTTTCTTTATTCTCGTTGTACATATTAATACCCTTTTTTTTTCTTTTTTTTTATTTAGAACAACTGTTTGGAGAAGTATTGAGTTCATCAGATGATGAGGTTGGTGCCACAATCAACATATTGGATGAGGATGATGACTCTCGTCTCTCAGTTGATGACAGCAGATTCTCCGAGTCATACATGGTAAGTTGATGACAGCATCTTGTAGGGGTACCTGCCGGCATTCACCCATTTTCTCTGACTCTTTTAGCTTAGTTTGTTTATTTAGCACTTTATTATTATTATTATTATTATTATTTTTTTTTTTTATTTTTTTATTTTTGTTTTTTATATTTTTATGATTTTTATGATTTTATGATTTTTATGATTTTTATTATTTATTATATATTTATTATTATTATTATTATTTATTATTATTATTATTATTATTATATTATTATATAATTATTATAATTATTATAATTATTATTAATATATATATTATTATTATTGTTGTTATTATTATTATTAATTATTATTATTATTATTATTATTATTATTTATATTATTATTATTATTATTATTATTATTATTATTATTATTATATTATATATTATTATTATTATTATTATTATATTGTGTGCATGTGTGTTTGTCTGTCTATCTGTCTATGTGTATATGTGTCTGTCTGTCTATTCATCTTTTGTAGAAAACTTCTCGTGTAAATATATATTATGTATATTGGAAAGATGAATATAACACCAAACCACTGTATCTACAGAATGAGACCGGAAATAGTCCCTCAAGCAAGTCAAGCGCTGCCCCTCTGGTAACCAACTTCTCGGGAATGTTCTGCAACGAAGGAGACTCGTCGTCCTCCAAGCCTCAGACGCCCACTCCCACAAAGCCTAGCTCTAGCAAAGGTATGTGTACGATGTTCTTCTCTCCATTTTCTTTCCTTTTTAGATTGTGTTTGTTGTTCGAGTTTGTTGAATTTGCAAAGTCTTGTACCGGTTCATTTTTAGGTTAACTCAGATATTTGCACCTTTGGTAGTGTTGAGTAAAAGTTGAGTTCATTGTTCTGTTTTTTTAATCAGTTTTGACAGCATATGAGTGTGAGACTCACTGATATATGTAGATGTTTTTGTTATGTCTGTATCATCAAACACTAACTTGTACATATGTTACATGCATATATACTTTTAGTGACACAAGTACACATGTGTGCAATTACTTGCACACACATACACAGTCTCTCTCTCTTTCTCTTTTCTCTCTCTCTCTCTCTCTCTCTCTCTCTCTCTCTCTCTCTCTCTCTCTCTCTCTCTCTTCTCTCTCTCTCTCTCTCTCTCTCTCTCTCTCTCTCTCTCTCTCTCTCTCTCACTCTCACTCTGTCTTTTTGCTCACCCCCCTCCTCCTCCCCCTCCCCTACTCCCCATGTTCTCTTTTTCTCTCCCACTTCCCCTCCTCCCTATCTCTCTCATATCACTTTCCAAACATATTACTTCTTAAAGAACACTCACACCCTCATAAAATTTTGCTCTACCACAGCAGACATGTACACCAGATTTTATTTTCACAGCCATTAACCAATTTTAGAAATGTCAAATGTGAGGACACTAGAATTGGATAGCCATATTGTAACCTATATATATATGTATGAATAACTGCTGTGTAGCAGGTCCATAACTCAATCCTCCATATCAGGTCCCATTCCATTTCAATAAAAAAAAGAAATAGAGATATCCAATGTTAATATGAAAACACATTATGTTTCTTGGACAAAAAAAACAACAACATTTATTTCTATACTCTGCCACTAAATGTCTAAGGCTCATTTCAGAAGCATTGACCTTTTACTCTCTGCCATAGACACCATGGTGATGTATTTTTACACGTATCACTGCCAATCATGGGAAAGTACTGTTCATGAATTACCATGGTGACCTTAGTGCTCTTCTGAAGTCATTAGTATGGTTTGCCATTTACTGCAAGAGGTACATGGGCCTTTATTATCCACCTCACACAATGCATGCCGTAACTCTGGTGTCATTTTCAGCTGTTTTTTATTTATAATTAACCAGAGAGAGTGACAAAAGATAATTTTTTGTGGATACTAGTCTAATGGTTCATAGTGATTCAGTTTGCTTAGTGCTGTTTGTTTTTTCATGTGGATAATGATTAGGTTTAGGTAGCTTTAGAGCACATCAGAAAGTTGCCGTGGTAATGCTTATAGGACAAGCTCAACCTCTGTGACTTGAAAATGCCCATTTTTCGATGAAATGAAAAATATACATTGAAGCAAAAAGTATATGCCCATGATCACTACCTGTAGGGAACTGGCAGTCAGATATGGTAGGACTATGGCAAAAGGTTATTAGTGTCCTCTCTGAACAGCAAAAAAGGTGATGCATCTGAAATGGACTAAGGGTACTCGTTGTTATTTCAGTCAAAGTCCTTTTTATACTATTACACATATACATGTTGTGCTTAACCCATTTGATCTGGATATTTCACTGCCATCATGTGGCTTATGGGCCAGGGTGCGCACAAACAATCGTGTATGGTGACGAAACCATGCCTACCCATTTTTTTTGCTTTCAAGTGGTTATATTTGTCATTTGATTTGCTTTACCTAGTTGGTGTTAGACTGTTTTCCTTGCACAAATGCCATATTATATCACTAAGTAGTCCATAACTCAGTGCAGTAACAATAACAATAAATAACATTTTGTTTCTTGTATTATTAAAAAAAAATGGATAAGACAGTTCTTTGTAATGCTATCTGTATTAGTACCGGTACCTTCCATTCATGGCTCAAGGGTGGTACATTCCACATTTATTTATTGATGGAAATAATGCAAAAGACCCACTGAGTCTCATCACCCTCCAAGAGCTTTGTGCACTTACGGCAAGTCATTCCTGGCCTTCAGCCGAAACTCTCATGACGGCAAGTTCCTGTCACCTTGGCCCTCAGCCAGATTCCCCCATGAAGGTATGTTCTCGTCACCCACGCCTCAAGGCAAATTTTTTCATGAGGTGACAACTATGACATTCTGATCTTAGGGGTTAAGTTGATGTGTTATAGAAATTTTCTTTTGTGTAGAAGTGTATTTGTGTATGTGTGTGTTCATTTTTGTGTATATGCATGTGTGTGTGTTTGTGTTTGTGTTTGTGTTAGTGTTAGTGCGTGTGTGTTTGTGTTAGTGTGTGTGTATGCATGTGCGTGTGTGTGCTGAGAATGTGTGTGTATACATGTGTGTGTTTCAGGAACATAAGTATATATATATATATTTATGTGGAAGTAAATGAGTATACATGCTTGTGTGTGTGTGTGCATGTGTATCCATACGTGTAAGTGTATGTGTGTGTGTTTGTGTGTGTGTCTGTGTGTTTCTCTGTCTGTTTCTCAGTATTTCCTTGTTCCTGTGTGCCAGCATGAGTGCGTAATTTTTTAGAATTATGAATTTGCATTTATTTATACAATATGTGTCTACATATGAGATGCTTTTGTGTATCTTTACATGAATGGTAGTATCTGCTGTTACAGCCACATGAATCGTGTTGGCAGTTGATTTAATGGTATGGCAAAAATAAGAAACCTTGTTGTTTTAATTTTATTCAGCTTCATAGTAGATAGAAAGTTTCTCGTTTGTATTTTGTGTGCAAGACTAATAGAATATTTATTTTAAAATCTCATATTTTGTCTGCTTTTTATTTTAGACTTTGTGTGGCAAAATGGTTTGTTCCTTGAGTTTTATTATCTTAAAAAATGTACAGTGTACAAATGGAATCATTATATATAAGGTTGTTGGTATATGTCAACCATAGGACATGTACGTCTTCAAAATTGTGTGTTAATGCCTTGCTGCATCACATGGCAAGAACTATTCTAACATTTCCATCTATGAGGGTCCACCTGCTATGCACTGACATAGACATGGTCGGCACATGTGAATCAAACAAACACATCGCTTCCCTCAGGCAAAGCCAAGCGCTCAACAGCCGCCAAAAAGACAGTCTCGACAGCAGGCGGGCATGTCCGACCAACAGAGGAAGGAAGTCATTCCTCTGAGGGCACCAGTAAGTCCTTGGCTCACTTAACCTCACCCACTTATATATACTTTGGCATAACGGATACCTGTTCTATATATTGTCCCACCCTGCCTGTCCTCTGCTTGGTAGCCTACTCCGCAAGCCAGTGTACAGATTTGCCTATATTCTGATCACTCATTATCTCTATGGTCTGAAGTTCACTCTGGTATGTCTCTTTAATTTTATACTT